GACTTGAGTAGGAAGATAATTTGTCACTTTAAAGAATAGTGTTTGTTGCCAATGATAAAATCAAGCTTTCAAATGAAGCTTAGAATTTTGGAAAAATTATATCCACCACCATGAATTTGACAGCTTCCTCATACTTGAAGCTTATTCTCAGACTGATGATGATACTGACAAATGTGATTGTTTTTATACTGTACAAGAAAATGTGTCAACATTTGGAAGATCTGAATAACTCAGTGAACCAATATTTTCCACATGACTAATACATGATGTTACAAAATCACACTCAGGGAAAGATCCACTCAAAAGGGAAGATAGGCCAAATTTTAATATTACAAAGTACAAAACGTTTACTGATATGATTTCACACTCTACATAGTAACTAACTTTTGAGAAACTGTCACTTACTGAGTTTTAGTATAGTATCAAATAAAAATAGCCATAAATGGGGGTATTAAAATATCTTTCCCTTTTCCAGCTATCTATGTAAGACTGTATTTCCTTCATATACTTCAACCATATGCAATGGATTGAATGTAAAAGCAAATATGAGAAATTATCTGTCCTGTATTAAACCAGACATTAAAGAGATGTCTAAAAATGCAAAACATCACAATTCTTGGCTCGGTACCTGTAGCACAGTGGTTATGGCACCAGCCACATGTACATGGAGGCTTGTGGGTTCAAGCATGACCCAGGCCAGCTAAACAACAATGACAACTGCAACAAAAAATAGCCAGGCATTGTGGCAGGCAACTGTAGTCTCAGCTACTTGGGAGGTTAAGACAAGAGAATCACTTAAGCCCAAGAGTTGGAGGTTGCTGTGAGCTGTGATACCACAGCACTCTACTGAGAGGGATATAAGGAGACTCTGTCTCCAAAAAACAAAAAAATCACTATTCTTTCTGAATTCTGAAGGAAAGGAAGTAAGAGAAGGAACGAGGGAAGGAGGGAGGGAAGGAGGGAGGGAGGGAGGGAGGGAGGAAGGAATGAATAAAACAATTGGAGCTGAGCAAGATTGCAGACCAGAAGGATCATTCAGCTGAGCTCTCCTGGAACAACTAGGAGAAAAGAGAAAACCCAGCCATTTCTGATGTGTGCACCTTACACAGTCATAGCTCAGGGAGCACAGTGAGGAGTTGGTGAGTTGGATACAGTATAATAATTCAACAGTATACAGCAACCAGATTTGAATGCCAGTTGGAGTGGATTTGCCATAGGTTTGGTGGCTGGTGAGGCAGCCACACCAAGATTGTCTCCACCGCTAGGGGGCTGCCATTATGGGAAGGTCGTGACAAGATCTTAGCAGGGGCCTAAAGCACAGCCATCTTAATTCTGCCTGCCAGGATCAGAACTCTGCTCTTGCAACAGGCAGAGGGGCTCTTGCACCCCATTGGAACTGGAGTCAGAGGGCATCATGAGAACTGCCCCTGAGGGATTCTTGTGGGCTTTAAGATCCCAACCATGCAGGGTCTGAATGCTGAGGAAACATTCAGGTGATCACCGAAGGTAACTAAGTTTGGAATAAGGACCACAGAGGTTTCTGGCTGTGCTCTCTGCCTCCTAAAAAAACCTCACAGCCTCACCTGTTGTCCAGGTGACATATTGCAACATAGTGCCATCAACAGCAAGGACTTCTGTTTGAAACAAAGGAGGCAGTGAGAAGGCAAAAAGAGGACAAGGAGGTGAAGAAAAAACACATGAGAAGGAACCAACAGAAAAATTCAGGCAACATGAAAAACCAAGACAGGTTCAGCACCTTGTAGCTCAGCAGCTAGGGCACCAGCCACATACATCAGGGCTAGGGGATTTAAACCCAGCTCAGGCCTGCCGAACAATAATGACTACTACAACCAAAACATAGCCAGGCATTGTGGTGAGTGCCTGTAGTCCCAGCTACTTGGGAGGCTGAGGCAAGAGAATCACTTAAGCCCAAGAGTTTGAGGTTCTTGTGAGCTGTGATACCATGGCACTCTACACAGGGCGACATACTGAGACTCTGTCCAAAAAAAAACGAAAACAGAGGAACTCCCACAAGGGACCATAAGGTAGTTAATGCAGAGGACTCTATCTATAAAGAATTAATGGACCTAAGGAGGTGGATGGGGGGAAGGAGGGAGATTGGTGAGGTCACCTCTGTGGTTTATCTTACAAGGGTACAAGTGAATCTTTCTAAAAGCAAAGTCTGAACGTTTTAACTCAATAACTAAGAAAATGGCATGAAGGTTATGTTAACCAGTTTGAGAGTATTTCAATATGTACATGAAAACAGCACACTGTACCCCATGATTGCTTTAATGTACACAGTTATACTATAAGAAATTAAAAAAAAAAGAATTAATGGACTTGACAGAAAGGAAATTTAAAATATGGATGATAAAGACAATAAAAGGAATGGTCGAGAAAATAGAAAAACAGAACCCAAAGTCAGACTAAAGATATGCAGACTATAAAAAGGATATGGCAGAGCTTAAGCAAATAAAGAAGAAAACCAGGGAATGTAAAGATGCAGTAGAAAGTATCAAAAATAGGTTAGACCACAGAGAAGAAAGAACCTGAGAGCTAGAGGATAAAGTTTCTGAGTTAACCAAGGCAGTTAAAGAGAAAGCACAACAGGCACTTAGAGAACTAGGAGATTCCATGAAGCATTCAAACATATGAATAAGAGGAATTCCTGAAGGGGAAGAAGACTGTCCCAGAGGAATGGAAGCCCTACTGGAGACTATCATAGATGAAAACTTACCGAGTTTTACTTAATAAAGACCCCAACACACTCCTTTCAGATGGATACTGAACTCTGGGTCATCTCATTTCAAACAAAGCCTCTCCAATACACATTGTAATGAACCTGTCCAAACTTAAGATGAAAGAAAAAATTCTGCAACCAGGCAGGAGTAAGCGCCAACTGACCTACAGAGGCAGAGCCATTAGGATGACAGCAGACTTTTCCACTGAAACCTTCTAAGCCAGAAGAGCATGGTTATCCACCTTCAACATTCCTAAACAAAACAGTTTTCAGCCCAGAATTCTATATCCTGCTAAACTAAGCTTCCAAATTGATGAAGACATCAAATCTTTTACAGATATACAAACACTGAGGAAATTTGCCACAACAAGACCAGCTGTATAGAAAATACTTAGACCTATTCTCAACACTGACAACCACAATGGACCACCACCAAGTAAGCTAAGGGTCAAAACTGAACTTCCACAATGGCCCCAAGGATAAAGCTACACAACAGATTTTCACAAAATAAAATGAATAGAACTCCACCACACATATCAATTTGTTCAATAAATGTCAAGGAACTGAACTCACCACTAAAGAGGCCCAAGCTGGCTAATTGGATAAAAAGGCATAAGCCATCCTTATGCTGACTCCAAGAGACACACATAGCCTTGAAGGACAAATCAAGACTCAGGGTTAAGGAATGGAAAAACAGTATTTCAAGCAAACGGAAATCAGAAGAAAGGAGGGGTTGTGGGTTGCAATCTTATTTTCAGATACAAGCAGATTTAAAGCAACTAAAGTTAAGAAAGACAAAGATGGACACTTTATACTGGTCAAAGGAACACTACAACAAGAAGACATTTCAATTTTAAATATTTATGCACCCAACTTAAATGCTTCCAGATTTATGAAACAGACCTTGATGGAGCTGAGCAATGTTATATCCCATGACACCAACAGGGTCAGAGGGGTTAATATCCCACTGACAGAACTGGACAGATCCTCAAAACAGAAACTAAACAAAGATACAAAGGACTTAAATGTGACCCTAGAACAAACGGGATTAACAGACACATACAGAACACACCATCCCAAAGCTAAGGAATATACATTTTTCTCATCAGCCCATGGTACATACCCCAAATCAACCACATCCTAGGATATAAGTCAAATCTCAGCAAAATTAAAAGAATAGAAATTATACCTTATATCTTCTCAGACCACAAGGCGACAAAGGTGAAACTCAACTTCAACAAAAACATTCATCACCGTACAAAGACTTGGAAATTAAACAACCTTATGCTGAATCATAGTTGGATTCAGAAAGAGATAAAATACCAAATTGTTAATTCTTCAAACATAACAACAATGAAGGCACAAGGCAGGGAGTGGTAGGGGAATGAGCAAATGGGGAGATGGAAGGAGAGGGGGTACGGGGGGGGTCACATTGTATGGTATACCTCTCTCTTGGGGGAGATACAATTATAAGAGGGACTTTATCTAACAAATGCAATCAGTATAACCTAATTCTTTGTATACTCAATGAATCCCAAACAATAAAAAATAATAATTAAAAAAAAAAGTTTTAAGGAGAATGTAGATATTGGACCCCTATGCACTATTGATGGGAATATAAAAGGATCCAGCCACTATGAAACTCAATATGACGGTTCCTCAAAGAATTAAAAACAGAATTACCATATGATTCAGAAATTTCACTTCTGGGTAAAAGAATTTTAAAAGCAAGGTTTCAAAGACATATTTGTACACCCATGTTCTGAGTACTATTTATTCATGATAGCCAAAAGAAAGAAGAAACCCAAGTGTCCATCAGCAGATGAATGAACAACAGAGATATATGTAGAATGAAATATTGTTTGGCCTTAAAAAGACAATTCTGAAACAAGCTAGTATATGGTTGAATCTTGAGGATACTATGGGTTAAGTGAAAGTCTCAAAAAGACAAATACTGCATGATTGTGTTTATATGAAGCTCCTTTAGTCAAAATTACAGAGGACCAAGTAGAATGGTGGTTGTCAGGAGCTGGGGAAGGGAGGATTGAGAAGTTTATAAGTAGAGAGTTTCAGTTTTACAAGATGGAAAGAGTTCTGGAGAGCGGTTAGCACAATAATGTGAATGTAATTAACACTAAAAACCAAAAGTACAGTAAGTCACACTGTCCTGGGCCAATACATACTCTAAAATACCTAAGATTAAAATTTAAGAGACACAAAATCAATTCACCACTACATAAAGCTTTAAAATTCTCACCTCATTTTTTTGAGTTAATTCATTAATGGAACTTTTAAGTTTCTGGAGTTCCTGTACATACACAGCAACTTCCTGGGGACCTTTGGCAAGTTCACTCTTTAGCTGGGTTATTGTGGCCTTAAAAAGAGAGAAGAAAATTAGAGTAGAGCAAACTAAAATAAAGAAAAGAAATAGAAGTTTACAAAGGTTTCAACATTACACAGATTTTTGTTATTCTTGCTGCTGTTAAACTTGAAATAATTCCTGGAACTCTGAACTCGGTTCTTTATGCTACTACCCTTACTGCCACCACATACCTTTCGGGGCTTCAAACCACTTTTTGAAATGTATCCAAAATATCCAACTTCATTTATTTAATAATACAGGAAATGACAAACTGACATCCTGTGTTATAGGTCTGAAGCACTGAACGACAAACCTGAATTTATTGGCTTTGAAACTCTATAATTTTCCTGAATTGAAAAATGACAATGCAAATTATGTCTACATTTCCTCCCAGCTTCTATGGTTTAAAATTTTCCTTTTACTTTAAGATACGTATATACAAACATGCAACACAGATGTTTCCATACTGGTTAAATCACCTTTCTAAGTGTAATGAAAATGTTATTTGTTCAAAGAGGTTACCAAACTGGTTATATATAATTTCATTAAGCTAGATCACTTTATGATCAGATGTAACAGGGAGACATGAATTTGCTTTAGGCTATTTTTCCTTTCTCTCTGTTTTTTGTAGTTCAACAAACCTCCAGCCAATGCTTTAGTGCACTTTAACATTTTTTAAAAACGTGAAATGAATGCTTATTACTAAAACAACAGTTTGATCATTTTAAAAATAATATAGGAGAAAGACAGCTAAACAAAAATCTTAGAAATATCAATTTCCTTTATGTGAAAGTTCAACCATTCTAGAGAAAGACTAAGCATTGCTTTTACAGGTACTGTTTCCTGCCAATGACACTGACAAAATAATTTTCTATTTCTAATATTGCCTAGGGCTTTACTTTTTTCACATTCCTAAAGTTACAATTTTTCCATTGTCTATATTCCTTATTTATTACTAAATAAGCTTTATGAGACTTGGTTCTTTATGCTACTGATGAGCAAACGCTTAGGCTTATATTATTTCAACAACCGCATGTTCATGAAGTTAGTTTTGTGAGTTTCAAACTGGTTTAAAATCAATTAAAGTAAGTTTCAAAAATGTTTTTAGTCTGTTTTATGTCTGAGATGTGTGTATGACCTGACCTTGAAGGAAAACATTCATTTAAATATACCAATTCTGACATAATGAAAGCCAATCTATAATACTACTATATAGTTCCACCTTATATGTTTCAGTATCATATATAACTGATACATTGAAAGATATATAATCTCGTATACTTCAAAGAAGAAAATGTTTAGATATTCTTGTATTTTCCACTACATTCAAGTTAAAGACATACCCTACTATTATCTGTCTTAAAGTGATCATGTAACCTTGAAATGGATATACAGGGCGGCCCCTGTGGCTCAAAGGAGTAGGGCACCGACCCCATATGCCGGAAGTGGCGGGTTCAAACCCAGCCCCGCCCAAAAACCGCAAAAAAAAAAGAATAAAAAAGAAATGGATATACATATTGGAAATCTATCTCAAATTACTATTTCCAGCAATTTTCTGTGTCAGAATTTTGTTAGATTTTTAGTTTACTTTTTTTTATTTTTGACACAGAGTGTCACTCTGCCACCCAGTCTGGTATGCAGTGATACAACCATAACTCACTGTAGCTTTGAACTTCTAGGCTGGGGTGATCCTCCTGCCTCAGCCTCCCAAGAACCCAGAACTGTAAGTAGCTAGGTAGGAGTAGAAGTGTATGACATCATGTCTAGCTAATTTTTTTATTTTTTGTAAACACAGGGTCTTGTTATGTTGCCCAGGCTGTTCTCAAACTCCAAGCCTCAAGCAATCCTCCCACATCTGCTAGGATTACAGGTCTGAGCCACAACCAGATTGTAAATGTTAAGAGAAACCTTAAGAAAGGCTGGGTGCGGTGGGTCACATCTATATTGTAGCACCCTGGGAGGCCAAGGCAAGTGTATTACCTGAGCTCACAGGCTTGTGACTAGCTTGAGCCAGAGTAAGACCTCTTCTCTAAAAATAGCAGGGTGTTGTAGAGGGCACCTGTAGTCCTAGCTACTTAGGAGGCTGAAGCAAAAGAATGGCTTGAGCCCAAGAGTTTAAGGTTTCTATGAGCTATGATGCCACTGCACTCTACCCAGGGTGACAAAGAAAGACTCTGTTTCAAAAAAAAACCTTAGGAAAAATTTTCTTAAGGTACTATGTTTTATTCATATTAATATAATTGCCAACTTATCACAAAAGAAAATAAATTATCACTTTTTTTTTTTTTTTGAGACAGAGTCTCAAGCTTTCACCCTGGGTAGAGTGCCATGACATCACAGCTCACAGCAACCTCCAACTCCTGGGCTCAAGTAAGTCTCCTGCCTCTGCCTCCCAAGTAGCTGGGACCACAGGCGTCCACCACAACGCCCAGCTATTTTTTGGTTGCAGCCATCATTGTTGTTTGGCGGCCTGGGCTGAATTCGAACCCACCACCTTAGGTGTATGTGGCTGGCGCCTTAACCACTTGAGCCACAGGTGCAGAGCCAAATTATCACATTTAAATCCCTCCTTGTAAATATCCCACCACAGGATTCTGTATAGGTTTCTCACACATAAAAAAAAAATCAATAAATAACAGTGTATATTAAAATGCAAAATACGTGTGTATTTTATTAAAGTCACACAATTTCATACTGAAATTCATAAAACGAAACAAAGTATAATGTCTATCTAGCGTCTATCTTGCTAATAAATTCCAACATGTAGACTACATACAATCAGAAAAATGTAAAGTGAATATATGCCAAAAATATCTTGTCCTTTTTATAGCTTTTAAATATTCCCTTTTAAATGATTTTATAAGGTCAGCACCTAACGACCTGGACATTAGGTGTACCATTTACATTCTGTACACTAAATTCAGGTATTTTGAAAAACTAAAATGTTTATAAAGATAGGTGCAAACACTGAAAATTTTACAATTTACTTAAGAAGACAACAAAGACAGACGTGGGAAAAGTGTACACCAAAAGACAGACTTCAGTTATGAAGAAGGCGGGGGGCAGTGATTGAATAATAGTAGAAGGCTTTCCCCTTTCCTATCGCTCATCATAAATCATTTTAATCTTTTACGGTGATCATATATTATGTTTGTATTTAGGAAAAAACTAAGATAAAAGACAGCTATTTCAAAGGGAAAAAATAAATGCCCTCCCTCTTCAGATAGCCACTCACAGGTGAAATCAGAAAACAGAAAGCTCTCCACTCTTGCGCCCTCACTTCCCTCACTGTTTAACAGGCCATGCTCACGTGTGGCTGGGATGTTAGCGCTTCCTGTTGTTTCCTCTCTCGGGAACCCCAGCTCCCTGCACTAGACCCTGTTTCTGCTTGATTCTCTTTTCTCCCACATATTCTCCTTGAGGCCATCTGGCCTGATCATTTCACCTAAAATCACCCTACATCATTCCCAGCTCCCCTACTGCCCACAGCCTGCTTTCTTCTTCTTCCCTGACTTTGGATCATGCTTTGATGCACTTTCCCAGTCTGTTGCTAGACTTCCACTAAGGAAGACAGGCCTATGAGAGCAGGCACTGTCTTCTCAGTATTGTATTCCCTGCACCCCTAAAATAATTCCTGACACTTAGTAGGCACTTTAAGAATCTTGTTACAGGAATGAGTAACTATACTTCCAAAGAGTATAATGATATTTATTCCCCCCCAGAAAGTATATTATATCTTATAAAACAGTCTGTATTTCCTTGTTTTTTTGAAATATTATTGAATTCAAGGTTGAATTTTTACTAAAAAAAACTTCAAATTACAAAATAATTAAAGAACAATATATCAAGCAAACATCCTGCTGTGCTTAAGAATTATAATTATTGTTTTAGTATTCACTATTATTAGTAAATAATCATTTAAAGGTGGCTGAAAATTCGCATGACTAACAAAACAAAAGCAAGCATGTCTTTGAAGTTCTGAGATTGCCTTAAAACACAAACTGTCATGACATGAGAGGTGGTATACTGAGAGCATTATCAATATGAAAAAGCCTTCTGAAACCACGTTACCTCCAGTTTAAGCATCTCCATGAGAAAGCAGAAAAAAAAAAAAAAACAACATGATGGATGAGGTGGAAGACTGACAAAGGTACACAACAGTACACAATCAAAATATCCAAGCATACATACAAACCTAGTCTCTTAAGTTAGCGCACTCTTAGAAGATACTTAAGTGCTTTTTAATAGCTCGACATGGCTGTAAGTCATACTAATTCTATACCTAAATAAACATTTTACCTCTTAAAACTGGGATTCAAATTAGCTCATTTGGAATACAAATAAAATACGTTAACCTTCTGTTAAAGACTACACCAAATATAAGTTGATTACAACTTTGACACTTTTAATAATGTAGATTTTTAGAAATAATAATTTTTTTTAAGACAGAGTCTCACTATGTCGCCCTTGGTAGGGTGCCATGGCATCACAGTGCACAGCAACTTCAAACTCTTGAGCTTAAGTAATCCTCTTGCCTCAGCTTCCCAAGTAGCTGGGACTACAGGTACCTGCCACAATGCCCAACTACTTTTTTGTTATAGTTGTCATTGTTGTTTAGCAGGCCCAGGTAGGGTTCAAACCTGTCAGCTCCATTATGTGGCCAGCGCCCTAACCACTGTGCTACAGGCACTACACAAAAAATAATAATTTTCTCCTTTTTTTGAGACAGAGTCTTATACTACAGTGCCCTTGGTAGAGTGCCATGGCATCAGAGCTCATAGCAACCTCAAATCCCTGGGCTTACGCAGTTCTCTTGCCTCAGCCTCCCAAGTAGCTAGGATTACAGGCGCCCACCATGATGCCTGCCTATTTTTTTGTTGTTGCAGTTGTCATTGTTGTTTAGCTAGCCCAGGCGGGGTTGGAACCAGCCAGATTCGGTGTATATGGCTGGTGCCATAACCACTGTGCTACAGGCACCAAGCCCAGAAATAATAATTTTTAATAAATCCTCAACTTCCACTCTACAAAACAGCCAATTATTTATAATGTACTTTCAAAGGCTTTAGAATGGAATATTTCCTACATGCCTTCAAAAATATCTAGAGAAAAGTCAATGAATTCATAAGGTGTATTTAATAATCTATACAAGACGCTGTATTTTCAGTTCCAACTACAAATACTAGTGAAATAAGTTGTTTGTTTACATGTTTACTTTAAATTAAAAAATAGATTTTTAACTTCTAACTCCTTTTTATGTTTTACTTCTGATGCCAATATTTAGATTCAGTAAAAGTAGCACATCTATAATAAAAATATTTCTAGTAAGTTCTTTAAATGACATAATTCCCTAACACACTTAATTGACAATAACTAGAATTAAATTGTAATAAATTAATAAAATATGCTGTATATTGAAAGCAAGCAGAAGCTAAAGAACAAATGGAGTTATAAACAAATAAATGAGATGAAGTAATTAGTAATTTTTTTCATATGGAAATGAAATGAGGCACAACTCAAAAGTACGTTATTACCCAATACAAATATTACCACGTATAAGAGGTTAAAGTTGAAAATATACTAACAATAAACATTAAGAAAAGATTAATAGCACAAATTTACTTATAAGGCAATCAACAGACCACCTAAAAGAGGAGATAATGTACTATAGGAGGAGGAAAACGGTCTTTGGGTAAGATCTGGGTTCAAAACATGCTTTTACATTAGGTGCACGGCCTTGAACGAGTAATTCTGCTTCCTTGAACCTCAGCAGCCTCACATGTAAAGCATACTTAATATTTAATTTACAGGGTTATAAGAAACAAATGAGACCACATACTTACAGTGCTTAGCATAGTATTCAAAACCTAATGGTGCTCAAAAAATGACTTTGTTTAGAATAATGTTATTCTGACTCTTAGGCTGCCATTTCCTAAAGTTAAAGTATTTCAACATGGCCTGAGGTCTCACTTATCACTATGATACGTGAATTAATATATAATATTAATAGATATTATTAAGGAACTAAGTAGGGAACACATATCATCCTTGTTTACTAAAAATATAAAGAAATATTCTATCATCTATTCAATTACTCAGCAAGAGTGACTCTCTTTCTAAATTTATTTCAAAATACTTCAAAGATAATTTTTTGTGAAGACTTGAAGGTAGTAAGTAAAGAATTGATTTCTAAGCCATTTTCTTTTTTTCCCAGAAACAAATTTTCTAGAAAAGAATAATCATTATTTCCTATAATTAGCCTTGTGTACAGAAGGACAATGGAAGGAGACACTAAATTCTTTGACCTCAAATCTTTTATAACTGTGGTCATAACTTTACCTTAAATGATCCCCTCTCATTACGGATAAAGATATTTTAAGCTGTAACAAAAATACAAATTTATAAAAAGTCCCCAAATTAAACTTAGAATAATTCTTAAATAAAAACTATTTAGAAATATTTTCTCATTACTACGTTACATTATGCTCCCAGGTATATTTTTTCAAATGCAAGAACTTTTATCAATTACTGTTATTATTCTATTTATTTAACAAATATACGTATAACTCTAGAACTCTCAAAGGGAAAAGGTCAGAGGGGATTGTACTTGGAAATACGCATGTTCTAAAACTGTCATTATTATGGTTCAACTTTGGGCATCATATCACATTTATTTTTAAATTTTAAATAAGGCCTCACATGTATACACATGTTAAACCCAGAAATTTTCACCATTCTCCCATTGATAAGATACAGGAGAAAGGAAATGGGTTACCCACACTCATACCCCATAGCTTGGTCACATGTTACTATTTATGAGTCAAATACTTTTAGATCGTCAGTTAAAGACCTCTAAGAAAGAGATGCAAATTGAAACGTCACTGTCTCTTTTTAAACTGAAAATATGAAAAACGGATATCTACTTCACCTAAGGAAACTTGAAGATCGCAAATAACAGTAGTCACAACAAAACATCTTCTATAATACAGTCAAAAGGACAAAGGTTAGCACTTTTTAGCAAACATATTTATATCTTAGAGCTTGTCACATGCTGACATAATTATATAAGAAATGTATAGGCTGAAGACGTATCACATGAGAACTGTGAAGGAACTAAGTACAAGGAACTGAGAATGTTTATCCTGTATTAAAAAAAAAAAAAACTCAGGGTAAATATGAACAGTCTTCAAATATCTCTTGTGGAAAATGGAAAAATTTGTTCTGTTTAATTCCTAAGGAAAGAACTAGAACCAGTGCATATAAATTATAAGGAAATAAAAGTCAACTCAAGGGAATAGCTGACTGGTAAAGAAATATGCACATTCAATATCATCTACCAAGAGTTGTGATCATTTAATCAGGGTTGTGTCGAGGCAGAGTCCTTGATGAAATATCAGACGAGATAATTTTTAAAACATCTTTCAAAAAAACCTTTCAAATACGTAATTCAATGTATATCAATTAGAAATAAGCTTATCAGAAAGTAAGTCTTTCCTAAATGTCTTTTCTAAACAGCATTAGTAATATAATTGTAGAAAATAATGTCATTCTTCTTTATTCAGTTACCATTTATCAACTAGCCTTGAGTAAATTTAAATTTAAATATCATCTCTTCGGAGCATAGACGTTTATTAAACAAAATAATCATCTTTAAGCAAACATTCCTCTCCAAGTGTCTAGCTTTAATAAAGTGAAAGTAAAAAACACATCAGACCACACTGAAAATAAACTAATATGACTGAGATCAAATGTAAGAAAAATACTGTGTTGATACACCACTCAGAACAACCTCAAACCCTGGCTTTATCCCATCATATGCCCTACACAAGATAATATGAATCACATTTACTACTGAACACACTGAACTTCATTACCTCTGAGTTAGCATTTTCTGCTTGTAACTTTTTGCACTCATCTTTTAGTTTTTCAGATTCTCTCTCGCGTTCCAAGGTCATGTTATCCATCAGTGTTTGAACTTGGACTAGCTCTTTCTTCAGCACCGCAACATCTTCTATGCCAGGCCTCTGAAGCTGGGAAACAGCACATTTTGATTAAAAATTATGGTGAAAAACTAAAATAATATATATTTTAGAACAGTTTCACTAGAAAGAAATCACAATGAAAAAAATCTTCAACATCAATTTTTGGACTGCAGACATTGAACATTGATATCTCCTCCTCCTCCTCCTCCTCCCTCAATAAGCCACCCTCTTTTTCTACTCTATTCTATTCAGTAGGATCAACACTCCAGGTACAATCTAGTAACTTCACAATTATCTTCATTTGCTTTCTTTCCCTTCAAAACCACATCCACTGGTATAACAAGGACTTGGTCAATGCTACCTTCCTTTTCTACCCTAGAAAACTGGTAATAAAGATGAAGAAGCAGCAGATAGAAGTAATTATAATTAGGATTTGTTGCAGGTCAGATGTGGTTTATTCATTTTATTTGTATATTTATTGGGTGCTAAATAAAAGAAAAAAAGAAGTAAAGGACAAATCTAAAGTTATTAAACATGCAGAGAGTTGTTAAAGATAAAAGCTAGACTGGCTTGGCACCCATGCTCAGTGGTTAGGGTGCCAGCCACATACACTGAGGCAGGTGGGTTCAAACCCAGCCTGGGTTTGCTAAACAACAATGACAACTGCTACTTAAAAAATAGCCAGGCACTGTGGTGGGTGCCTGTAGTCCCAGCTACTTGGGAGGCTGAGGCAAGAGAATCACTTAAGCCCAAGAGTTTGAGGTTGCTGTGAGCTGTGACGCCACAGCACTATGGCAGTGACATAGTGAGACTTTGTCTCAAAAAAAAAAGATATAAGCTAGAAATTCAATCAGAAGTATATACTATAATAAAAGTAGGTGGACTTATAAACTCAAATGCAAAGATCAAGATTGGAGACACAGATATAGAATGCAGACATGGAAACTACTAGAATGACAGATGATATTTATAGAGAAACAACAAAATGTTGGGGTAGTAAGTTATGTATCATAACGTTCCATTTTTATTTTAAAAAATCACATATAGTTTATATATAGGTGGTACAATATGGAGAAAGTTTTATTTCCTCCATTTCACTCAAACTATATATTTAAAAAAATTTTTCAACAGAGCACATATTTCATCTTTAATTTATAAAACTATTAAACTATATCTCAATAAATGGTTCCTAAATCACCAGTTCAGTCTTCAGATCTTGAATTACAGTTGCCTCTTTCTTTAATTCTTCCGTCAGATGTGTCACTCTTTGTTCAGCAGCTTCTCGAAGACTCTTTTCTTCATCATATTTTGATTTTATTTCTAATTAAAGACAGTTATATACATATTAGTTTCATGACATTAAGTCTAAGGAAAAACAGTTGTATAAGTTCCTGCATATCTACATAACATTCTAATTCAAATTCACATACCTTAAATAACCATAACTTTATACAATAAATCTATACCTCTGATTACATTAAATGAATTTTAAAAATAATGAAATGTTTTTGTCTACATAAATGGCACCAAACCTTAATTTACTAATATCAGTTTAGTGTACACTTAATTCCATCCACTATTTCACCTAAAAGCATGTAATGTTTAAAAAATGCAACTGATAGCATAAGCAAGTGTTAAATCTATAGAATCTAATTCACTTATTTAGGATGTTGCTGTTTAATCTTAAAGTATACTATAAAAAAATTATCTTCTCTAAATTTCAAGTAGAATCTAGTCTTTTGAAGGGAGAAGGGAGCACAATAAAATAATTTGCACAGCAACCCCAATATCATTAAATTCCAGACACCAGTCTTTTATAAATGCTTTATCACAGGAACTATGCCTATTTCTAGGGTACATAAAGGCAAAAGACTAAATTACTGGCTAAAAATTTTGACCCAATTTACCTGCAATTTCAGTAGCAAGTTGGGCAGCTTTCTGCTCAAATAAGTCTTTCATTTGCTTAATATTAAAATTTTCTGTCTGGGCTTCTTCTAATTGTTGTTCCAAAGACTGCAGTTCTGCAAAAGTGTAGCAGTTATTCAACTATGTTGTTCATTACATTTATAGTAAGTTACTATGATTTATCACCGCTACGGCAGTAGTAAAGACAACAGACACAGAGACAGTGGACAACCTGAGTCTGCTCTTCAATTGTAAGTAAAGCATTTTCACATTTTAAGAATTAAGCATATCTGATTCAATCAAGGCGTAAGTCATAATTTACAAACATATAGAAGAAATGAAAGGAACATTTAGAATCACCACCAAATCATCTATGCAGATTTGTTTAAAAGTTATTATGATTTCACATTTCAATTACTTTGCTATCTCTATCAATTGACCAGAAACAAATATATTCTGATCCTCTGATAAAATCAGTTATAAAGCAAGAAGAAATTAGGAATGTTAAGAACAATTAAAGTCCTGAAAAAAATCAGTCAAAAGAGATAGTCAACTCTTAACATTTCATCATAAAAAAAGAGATTTCAGAGAGAAACTAATATTAACAGCTCACCACAAAATATAATAACAAAATATAATAAATAATTGTTTATTAAACATTCCTCTAGTTAAAGATATTTAAAAGATGCTAGTTTCGTCAGTTTATTTCAAGGGCCAAAGACAATCTCACTGTTAAGATAGACTTGAATTTTCCTTAAACAACCATATTGATGTAATATTCCAAAAGTTTCTTTTCTAACTTCAGATTATAGTGAACTGAAAGAACACTAAAACTTTAGCTGACTGATTAAATTATGAAGTTCACACGTACTTTCTAAACTTAGAATGCAACCATTATGTGCACTGTTTCAGAACCATAAAGTAGAACCACAAAACAAAATTCATTTAACAGGCATCAGAGGAAGAAAAAGAAGTCTGGTAAAAAAGAAAAAGAAAATTGAAAAAGTATCTGCTTTAAGTAAAGTTACCTGCTGATGAATCAGTCACCAATCCGTCAGGTTTTCCCTCCTCAATGAAAACAAAAGAAACAGACAAAGACATTAAAAGGGAAAGACAGTGCTGTTACAATTGCTAATGTTAAAATCTCTGAAAGTCACATGCTAACTACCAGGTAAGCAAGATTTGGGTGAAAATTAAAGTTTGGTGGTTCCCACTCTTTCACACCTAGAAGGTGGGCAGACTAGCAAAGGGCTCTCACTTCAGTTCACAGGATCTAAGGGTTTTCCTTTTTTTTTTTTTTTTTGTATAGTAATATGTATAAAATCATTATGTTTCTTACAATAGATGAGATCTTAAGTTCCATAAATTCAGTAATAAGTACTATGAATTATTGCAATTATAAATATAGATTCTAAAACAAATGCTTAAGTAAGCAGGCAAGATTCAGTTCCATTGCTACGTAGTTTTGAAATGATTCCAAATACGGAACATAGTTTGCCGTGTGGATGATATATATTTTGCTATAATACGACTTTGGGATTGTCATCTCCCTCCATTTAAGCGTATGATGCCTGTAAGACCCTATATGTAAGAACCTGGAGTAAACTTCTCCTTCCATTGGGAATGTTACGTCAGACCTTTTCATTCCCCACTGACCTCAACTACTGGACTTCAAAACAGATATAAACCTAGGAGTTTGACAGACGCTTTGAAAGCTAAGGTCACTGCACAACACACTGTGTCAGCCCCTTCTCTAAGGCTGACAGCTTAGGCTGTCACCAGGTCACACACCATTAGCCCTTGAGCTTTGAAGCCTACCCACCCACACTTGTATCGCCCTCTAGCAGCAAGGGATCCCCGAGATCTCTTGCTGTTTGAGATACCTTCTCTCCAACAAAACTGCTCAGAAAACAAGGTACACTTCAAACTTCAATCAGACTTTACTTTCCACAAAAGCCTGCTTTTACCAATAGCGTAACTAGACATTACAAATTTTAGAACTCATAATTGATAATGACTTGTGATATTTATATTATTCTCTCCTTCTTCAAGCATTATAAATCTAAGAAAAATTTCTCTTTAGCAATAAACCATGAGATTTGTGAAATTACGCTTTGATTATCTCCTTACTATAACTACATAAAACACCTATAATATTTGAAAATTTGCATAAGTTGAATTATGCCATTAAACTATCACTACTAAAAAATGTGTCTTTAGAAGTTTACAATTTTAATTCAGGATCATAAATTACCTTTGAAAGATGCAATAAAGAACATACTCCATAAGGTTTAATTTATCATATGCATTAGGAACAAAATAATATATCATTTAACATTATTAAAGAATTATCTGAACATCTGAAAGAGTTTCATAAAGCATTTCATAGTATACTGACTTTTTATACCTGGACTTATACATATTAATTGCTAAGAATCATCAATGTTTAAAATACATTTTCCCCCAAACGTAAATTTTCTGCTAATTTACAACTTGCACTATGTATAATTTATTTAAATGTTATTAAATGTAAAATAGTTATCTCAAATGTAGCAAACCATTTCCTCTCTGTTTTCAGGTACAGAAAATAATACAGCCTACATTTGAGTATAATAATTGTTCATGGCATCTATATAAAACATGAGTAAATGAGCTATAAGTATTTTATATTCTAAAAACTTCCCTAATGTTAACAGAATCCCCAACAGCAGAAGCCAAGTAGAAATAAGATTTGATATCTTGTTGTTCATTTATTTATTTTTGTGTTTTCTAGTCCAAATGACAACTATTGGTACAAAGATTTTTTAAAAAGCAAAAAAGACTGACTAAAAGTCACAGTATGCTAAGATAATGTACAGAGGGATCGCTAATCACTGTTAGAATATTAGAACTATTACTTACAGGCATCTATTATTACAAGTGATGATCTGGTACAATTCATTATTCTTTGATTCTTCCTATAAGTTTAGCATAAACTCAATATGATTTTAGCATAAAAGTCCTAATTGGTTATTTGGAAAATATATTAAACTATAAAGAGTCAAAAATACCAACAGAACCCCACTCAGAGATAAGTACCTTCTCCAACACAGTGACTGCCTTCTATGTATTAGAATACGTTTTTTCCCTACGTATTATTTTCATGCCATAAAGAGTGTGTGTGTGTGTATGTGTGTGTGGGTGTGTGTGAATGTATATATATGTATGTGTATGTACTTAGACATTTTCATTCAGTTTTTTTAAAATCTAACATTGTTAACAGAGCAGTTTTGCCAGTTTTCAAATAATCTTCACTAATATAAACAGCTAATAATATTCCTGTCACTACCAAATAGACATTTTAGTCATTTCTAATTTGTCACAAACACAAATACTTTGAAGAAATTCACTACTGCTTGAAATTATATTTTTTTAGCCATTTAGGCATACTGTCAAAAAATTAGATTATCACCAGCTGAATGCAAGCTAATAGAACCTTTTTGGAAATAAGTTTGGAGAACACTCAAGGAACTAAAAGTAGACCTACTGTTTGATCCTGCAATTCCTCTACTAGGTATATACCCAGATGATCAAAAATTATTTTACAACAAAGACATTTGCACTAGAATGTTTAATGCAGCCCAATTTGTTATAGCCAGGACATGAAAACAGCCCAAGTGCCCATCGGCCCATATACCAATTGTGGTATATGTACCACAATTTGGAATATTATGCAGCCATAAAAAAGGATGGAGCCTTCACATCTTTTATTTTTACCTGGATGGAGCTGGAACATATTCTTCTTAGTAAAGTATCTCAATAATGGGAAAAAAAGCATTCAATGTATTCAATACTACTCTGAAATCAATTTATAATTACCTACACATTTATATGAATGGCAAAACATAACTATAGTCCAGAAAGAGAGAGGGGAGGAGAGGGGCAATTTGGGAGGATGGGCGGATTTGGGAGGAGGAAGCGTATTCGGGGGGACCTCACCTAATGGGGATGATGCAATGGTGCATTTCAAAACTATTAAGAAATGAGTATAATCGTGATGGATATGTTACTTGTTCAATGTAAGCATTTCACATTGTATATCAAAGTAGTACACTGAACTCCATAAATACATCAACATACAAAGTTATTATTTAATAAAAAATAATAATAAAAAGAAAAAAAAAACACTGGGTATTAAAAAAATATATAAGTATGGAACACTGATTCTTAGTCGAATGCCTTTAAAAAGCTATTTTCATTTCCCCATGTATTTGTTTGCATTCATCAAAATCATAAAGCATACACTCATATCCTGTAGGCTATTAAATACAGAGAAACAAATCAGGAAGTTATTTATATCAGGCCATCTGCTTACAATAGGTTATTAAGCTTAATATTCAACATAAAAATAAACAACTAATAAACATGCTGTAAGTATTTAAAAGAAATTACTTGCTGCTGTAGTCCTTGATATTTTTCTAATTCTTTCTTTAATTCTTCCGAGTACCATTTTTCTTCCTAATGAAAAAGATTTTTAATCAGTAAATTTTAAAAGACTTATTATGTGAAGCGTTGAAAATAAACAAATACAATCATTTTTATTCTTACCTTTAGTGAAGCCTGTAGGTCCTGGACCTCTTGTCTGAGTAGTGTTAGATCATCTCTAAACATATATGGAGAGAAAAGAAATTAATAGCTAATATCTTTTATGTAACAACCTGACCTCTTAGCAAATTATGGCCAGTACCTATATATTAACATCTTAGTCTTCTCAATTCTTAAAAACAACTACTTAAGATTTTATGTATAATGACACATATATAAAGCTCTTAGGAAAATAATTTTATTTCTAAAGCTCATTGATTATAAATGGAAAAATATTTTCTCATGGAATAATCATATTACTGGACCGTCAAGTGCCTGAGCCAGAAGCAAAATATTTCTCATTAATTTGCTAACAGTAAGAATCAATGGCTTCCTACTGCAGTTAGTATAAAATCTAAACTCATTAGCAAGGACTATAAAATCTACACAATCTACTCCCTGTCTTATCACTTTTTCCTTTATTCATTTAGCTCTAGGAAGAACAGCTTCCTTTTATTTCTTGAGTCTGATATGGTCTTTCCTGTCTGAGAATCTTGTCAAATTCTGTTCCCCTTACCTAAGAGTCAGACTATAAAAGACTGGTGAGCCAACTACTCTAGGCCATAATGCAAGAGAGAGATTTCAAGGAACATTAATAGTCATGTAAAAAGAAAAGATCCATTCTTCCCAAAAGCACTGGTTTCCCCACATATTTCAATAAATTAAAACAACCATACTTCATAGTTATACATTATCTATCAACCATAAGGTGTATAATCATATTTTTCTCTAGGTAATATCTTAGTGTTACGGCAGATTAATCTAACAAACTATTCTCTTTTTTTTTTTTTTTTTTTTTGAGACAGAGTGTTATTTATTCACCCTTGGTAGAGTGCCGTGGTATTATGGTTCACAGCAACCACAAACCCTTGGGCTTAAGCGATTTTCTTGCCTCAGCCTTCTAAGTAGCCGGGACTAAAGGCACCCGCTACAACGCCCGGCTATTTTTTTGTTGCAGTTGTCATCGTTGTTCAGCTGGTCCTGGCCAGTTCAAACCCACCAGCCTCAGTGTATGCGGCTGACGCCATAACCACTGTGCTACAGGTGCCGAGCCCAAACTATTCTTTTCTTAAGAAGTATAAAAAATTGTTTACAAGTAGAAGGAAATAGAACTTTTATCCCCTTAGTGTAGGTAAAAGATGAGCGTTTTTACCAATATTGGAAGAAAAGCAAAATTATATTGTTAGATGCTGCTCTAAGCAATTATATTCTAGTTTACCTTTAGTTCTCAAAATGGTCAGGCTAAATTGCCAAAAGCACAATGTGTGTGTCGGATGCGGTGGCTCATGCCTGTAGTCCCAGCACTTGGGAGGTCGAGGCGGGTAGACTGCCTGAGCTGATGAGTTCAAGATAAGCCTGAGCCAGAGTGAGACCCCGTCTCTAAAAAATAGCCAGGCACTGTGGCAGGCACCTGTAGTCCCAGCTATTTGGGAGGCTGAGGCAAGAGGATCATTTGAACTCAAGAGTTTGAAGTTGCTCTGAGCTAAAATGCCATGGCCCTCTACCAAAGATGATCAAGTAAGATTCTGTCTCAAAAAAAAAAAAAAAAAAAAAAAGGACAATGTGTATATGTGCACTTACTACCATACTGATGACTATAAATGATATTTTTAAAACATTTACTAAATGATTTTAGAATTATTAAATTAAATTTTAATTCTTGGCTAAATTCATTATTTTAACAACTTGCTATAAAATTATCTAAACAAAATATATCATTTTTTATTAAGCAGAATATGTTAAATAGAATTTAACCTTCTTTTGCTGACTCATAATCTTCATTAAAAATACAACCTCAGGGGTGGCGCCTGTGGCTCAAAGGAGTAAGGCGCTGGCCCTATATGCCAGAGGTAGCGGGCTCAAACCGAGCCCCGGCCAAAAACCACAAAAAAATAATAATAATAATAATACAACCTCTGCAGACTAAGCAAGAGCGACACCTTGTCTTTACTAAAAATGGAAAAACTCATATTTAAAAAAAGGAAAAATTAGCCAGGTATTGCGGCTGGCCCCTGGAGTCCCAACTACTCAGGAGGCTGAGGCAGAAGTTTGAGGTTGCTGTGAGCTAGGCTGATGCCATGGAACCCTAGCCTGGGCAAGAGAGTGGGACTGTCTCAAAAAAAAAAAAAAAAAAAAACCTCTAGCCATGTATGGTGGCTTATGCCTATAATCTCAGCAATTTGGGAAGTCAAGGTGAAAGGACAGCTTGAGGCCAGGAGTTCAAGACCAGCCTGGGTTGACATGGCACTGTATCCTTAAAAAAAAAAAAAATTAGCTGGGCATATTAGCACACAGCTAATAGTCCCAGCCACTTGGGACATTGATGTAGATAGATACCTTGACCCCAGAAGTTTGAGGTTGTTTGCAGTGAGCTTACAATGATGCTATCACACTTTAGGCAACAGAGAGAGACCCTATCTCAAAAAATAAGTAAATAAAAATATAAATGTATATAGATATTACTATAGATAGTTGCTGATCAAGGACTACATAACCTGAATAGGTTAAAATGATAAGGAAAGAAGGTCAAGCTAATTGAGGACAGATTTAAATTAAATAATATAAAACATCACTGTTTTCATTAATTAATATATCATGATCAAACCACACTATCACGTGAGCTTTCTGCAACAATATTATACTTCAAAATTCTCATACTGTACCGCTTCAGAGCAAGATTAGCCTCTCCTCCAAGACCTGAGTCATTGCCGGCATCGTGAACTGCTTCATAGTGTTTGAAAAGTTCGTCAGCAGATCCAAGAGATTTCATACACTGGGGACATATGAAGCCCTACAGAAAGAGGCAGAAGAGAAGTTTCAAAATAGCATTTAATATTGCAAAATAACAACTGCATATTATGAAACATGATCAAATGTCTTATTTATACCAATGACACCATTAAGTAAATTATAGCTTATAGTGTTAATCTCAAATTCTACTATCATGCAAAGGTACTTCACTGTCTATTCTGGATGAAGCTTATGAAATACAAAGAAAACCCCTGCAACTATCTTTTAGGTTGAATAAATTAATGGCTAGAATACCAAATTCTAATTTAAGAAGTCAGTTCTAATCTAGAAGATTAGTTGAAAAGATTTGCCATCATATCCTTCTTCTCTCCAGATATCCCCATTCATAAAATAATGCCTATTTCAATCTACATCATAGAAATGCTAACAAAAAAAAATAATGAGACCAGCCTGAGCCAGAGGGAGACCTCGTCTCTAAAAATAGCCGGGTGTTGTGGCGGGTGCCAGTAGTCCCAGCTACTCGGGAGGGTGAAGCAAGAGAATCACTTAAGCCCAAGAGTTGGAGGTTGCTGTGAACTGTGACACTACAGCACTCTACCAAGGGTGACAAAGCGAGACTCTGTCTCCAAAAAAAAAAAAAGATGATGATGAAGAACTATGATGAATAAGTGAAAAAAGTGATAGAGTAAATCATTCCTAATTACCACAGATATGGACAAAGGTAAGACAAGTATTCTAGTCAGAAAATTTCCTTGCTAACCAAATGTTAATATACAGACCCATAAACATATAAAAAACTTATAATTAATCCCAGAATTATCACAAAGTTAAGACTATCAGCTAGAGTTCTGTATTAAAAATGCTGACATAAATCCATGTTTTGTAAATTTGGGGTTGCAATTCACAAATGAATTATAAGATCAACTCGCTGGGTTGAAACCTTTTTTGTAATAATACTCTAAAACTAAACACATTGGAGTTCATCATATGTATTAATAGCAAAAATAAATAATGATTATATATTTTTGCAGTCTTTTTGGCCAGGGCTGGGTTTGAACCTGCCATCTCTGGCATATGGGGCCAGCGTCTGACTCTTGAGCCACAGGTACCACCCCAGATAAATCATGTTTTATTAGTTCTTTTTTTGGGTGATGACACGAAAGTATATTTCTTAAGTGGTTGCCATCAAAAATATTTCAGAAGCACTAGTATAGTTGTTAAATATATAATGGAATGTGTATTAATTAATAATGATTATTATTTTTTTTGAGAGAAAATCTCACTATGTTGCCTTCAGTAGAGTGCCGTGGCGTCACAGCTCATAGCAAACTCAAACAGTTGAGCTTAAGCGATTCTCTTGCCTCAGCCTCCCAACTAGCTGGGACTACAGGCGCCTGCCACAACACCCAGCTATTTTGTAGCTGCAGTTGTCATTATTGTTTAGCAGGCCCAGGCCAGGCTCGAACCTTAGCCTTGGTGTATGTGGCCAGTGCCCTACTCACTGAGCTATGGGTTCCAAGCCTAATGATTACTTTATTGAGTCCCTACTATACTCCAGGCTCTTTCCCTACACAATCTCATTTAAATCTCACAATTCTTTATTAATAAGTATTATTATCACCATTTTATAGAAGAAGAAATTAAACTGCAGAAAAGTTAAATGACTTTTCCAAAGCCACAAACCTAAACCAGGATATGCATAGGTCTGTTGAACAAACCCCATGCTCTTTCTAGAGTGCTGCACGATCTCTTGAACTCACTGCCTTACCCTTATTAGTGACTTCCTTAACATAAATTCTTGTATATGCTAAATTTTTAGGGACTTTATTCAGTAACTGTTAGTTGATTGTAAGTTCAGATACTATAAGGGTTCCATGGAAAATACAAATAGTAAAACAAAACCTCAGGCTTCAAAGAACTGAGGAGGCAGAAAATGTACATATATATACATGAAAAAATACTTCAGTTTATGAAGCTGAGTTAAAGATTAACCAGATGGCTTTAAAGATTATATGGTAGGAGGACCTGAGTGCAAAGTGAATTAGCAAATCAAAGGCTAAATAAAATAGCTTTCTTTCCAATTATCTGTTGGTCCTATAGAAAATTATTGACTCAACTTCTATATCCTTCAAATTGTCAGGAGTAGTCATAATTTACATAAAATAAAAATATTACATATTCTTTCAGCATCATCAACCCGGTATACAATAGAAATCTCTCAACTTTGAGTTACTCTTTAAATTATTTCTATTCAAACATTTTTTGTGGATAATAAAGAAGTAGTTCCTCACACTTACATACACACAAACACTCAGACATATACACCCCATGCCAAGGGTTTTAAGGAGGCCTTATTCCAAAATTTTGCTTTTAAAAAATATTGCCAGATGTCAATTCTGAAAACACCACCAACCTGTCTTTCACCCTAATCCACAAGAGTATCCTCGTGCAAATATTCCACAGGAGTATTTCATATACAGGTACTAAAGAATATTTAATTTCATTCATTCAATGAAAAATAAAAGTGATTAGCAAAAATTGGATTAAGTTAGTACAGATACAACTCTGCTAACTCAAGGTGGGAAGAAGTAAGTTTTCTTTACTTTTACCAAGTACACTCTAATTCTAAAACTTTCCTCTATTTCAGATATAAAAATAAAATGGAGTATGTGTGAGGGTGGTATGTTTCAGTGTATTTTCATGTTGAAAGCAACATGCAAATACAAATATATATACAAATACATATATTTGCAGATTCTATGGAAAGTTTTGTTTTGTGGGAACATACAGCTTTTATATACAAGAATGGTCATCCTCTCTCTATCCTGTAAAAACCAAAACACAATTCCCTTTAAAGATCACTCTTCTCCAAGGCCCTCGCAATGAACTCCTCCTCTTCTGACTCACACTTTCTCTGGTACATAATTATGCAAATAGTTTCAACTATCATTTACATGCTGATGATTCCCAAGTCCAATAACTGGCCAAGAACCCTCTACAGATTTCTTCTGGATCTTTATATCCAACAACATATATCTCTATATGTATCCCACAGGCATCTACAATCTAAGTGCAAGAATCAATTCATTTCCCAAACTTCTTTTGCTCACCAAGATCCTTCCACCTAAACTAGAAACCTAAATATCATGCTAAACTATTCTCCATCAGTCTTACTTCTAATAAAACACTCGGCCTCAACATTTCTCCTTGTCATCTTCTCATCTCCATCCTCACTGCAGCTGTCCATGTTCAGACACTCAGCATCTCTTGCCCAGACTACTGCAATAACACATCTAGTCTTCCTTCTCCATGATGAATCTTCCACACAGCGGCCAGACGAATCTTTCTAAAATAGATTCTTCAATATTCTTCACTAACCTTTATCATCAATATGGCACACAAGGTCCTACACGACCATTCCCCTCATGGCCTCTGCAGTCTGATTTCCAGACAACTCTCCCTCTGTACAACATGCTTCAACGATTTTAAAGCACCTGTGTTTCCCTGAGCACCCCAGGGTGTCTCAGATTTCTGTGCCTCTGCACATACTGCATTTTCCCTTCACTAGGACCCATGTCAGCTTGTCAAGTTCCTGCACTCACTATAACACGCAACATACTGGAGCTTTTCATCTATATTTTCTTAATGGCTAAAGTAGTCCTTTGACCATGTTATATTTTTCTACATTGTATATTTATTTACTGAAATATGAGTGAGGCTGGCAGTGCAGAACTTGGCAAAAAACAGAAGATATGTATATGTGTATATGTGTGTGTGTGCGTATACATATGTCCGAGAAACACTGGAATTCGCCACTAAAAAATGAATAAGAGTTTGACCTGCAGAGATAAAAGACAGGCATTCTAAACAGATGAACAAAGGTATGGGAAGCACTGTTGAAACAGTTACACATTTGGGAAACAGAGGGCTTCTAGATGTGTTCTGAGGACACAGGCTAAGTAAAAACAGGTGCAGAAGAGGTGAATGCACGCACTGATCCCCTATGAAACTCCTGAAATAAGCGAAGTTAGCGGTATGAGGATGTGCCTTTGGGAATCAGAACACAGTGATGTCATTAGGATCCAGAGATACTGGTTGCTCAGCACCACCTCCTAAATAAGTGAATACTCCCAGCCTGTATGTTAAAATAGCTAGTGCAACAATCACCATCTTTCATAACGGCTCTATGCTATGCTCCACGTGGCATTTTCAGATCTTCTCTCCCCAGTAACTGCTGTACAATACTAGTTGGCATACCTTAAGGGCAACAGCACACGAACCCTGATAATATTGATCCTTTTATGTCTCAACTTCTGCCAGTGACTGGAAAGTGAATTATAAAGTGTTCCTCAGAGTCTATATCCCTATTACACAATTCAATCTTCACAACTTTGCCTTTGGACTATTGCCTCTACTTCTAGGTTTTAGCTCTAGATACCTAATAGTGCCAGAAAGCTATTGATCACACTGAGGTATGCCATACCTTCTCAAAGTTTCCAAATATTACCAGGTTACTATCCCAAAAAGAACTGATTCATTCCTAAAGAGGAATTTAGAAATCAGTGATATGTATTCCATTATAGAACTATTCCACATTAATTTTTCATGTAATTGGAACTTGCACATTTAAATAAAACTTAAATTTTTAGACATTTCTGATAAAAAATCTTTCTAAAATACATATACTTCCTCATCTTCTTAAATAAATGATATTAAAACTTTGCCTGGGGTGGCACCTGTGGCTCAAAGGAGTAGGGTGCTGGCCCCATATACCGGAGGTGTTAGGTTCAAACCCAGCCCTGGCCAAAAAAAAAAAAATAATTTTGCCTGATGTCTCAGAGACATAAATATCAATCAATCACTGAATGGGCGTCTTCTACTCTTCAATATTAAATTCTGGCAAGCCTGTTTAACTCCTGTACTTGTATTTCCTAGTTTCCCTAAACCCTACTTTGTATTTCAACAGTCATTTCTAAAAATTCTTAGCATGCTACTTCTAGGAATAGTAGAAGTATTCCTATGCAATAGATGGAAAGGGTA